TTTTAGGCTAAGATATACTAAGAAGAAAGGTCTGGCAATCTATTTCTAAAAATCAGATATTAAAAACCCTACAGATTATAATGGTCTGGTCTGTAAAAGGTAACATTTTCTTCTAATGTGTAGGCAGTTGCCAAGGGTTAGCAAAGGACCTGATAACAGCTAACAATAGCAACAACATTAGGGTCTTGACAAGTGCTCATTGTAGAATTATGGAAAGGAAATAGGAATACCTATAAATTAGTGTATCGCAGTAACTAAGGAATTGGGGCAGTATGTCAGAAACAGTGAGACTGGCTCAAGATAGAGCAGAGTTCAGAGCTATTGTAAATAAAGTTGCTATGAGTTGCAAGTGACTCAATGGCACTTTATATAATAACATTGCCATAATAACAATGACAATGGAGTGAGAACTGGACAAGGGAGGGAGGGAGATGAGGAAAATGGTGATTGCCAGTGAAGAGAAGGGATGATTAGTTTCAGTTTAAGAAGTCTCAGAGAACCTGTTCCTGAATGTCTAGATTTCAGACCTACCTACTGCCTCTTCCAGAACCCTCTAATTCCCCATTTTGCTGCTAGTTTATTGACTAGCCATGTTACTGAAATGTAAGCTTCATGAGGGTAGAGACTGTGTCAAATTCTTCCAGGGTTGTTGTTGTATGCTACTGGGTTGGACTGACCCATAGCTGACCCCCCGGTGGCAGTAAACTGCACAGAAGTAGATTGCCTATCCTTCTTTCATGAAGCAGATGGTAGATTTGAACTGTATGCCTTTGGGATTGCAGTGCAGCCTTTTACCATTAGGCCCTCAAAGGATATCCCAGTTTCTAGTTGAGTCTTTACATATGAGAGGAAGAATAAATATTTGTTGACGACTTGAAATCTAGAAGTGGAGCTATTCTTGGTGATGATAATGCCTGGGGTGTGGGACCTGCAAGTGGGACCAAGATGGAGAGGAGGAGGTGGTCATGGGATGAAAAGAACAGAGTGATAGCTACTTAGGTCACAGGAAACTATCAAGAGGAGACCCTGAGTCACATGCTCAAGTATTTAATAAATGAGGAGCACATAGCATTAATGGTGGCCAGAGAAGATGGTTGAAGAGAATAGTGGTATGGCTTGAAGTGAATCAGGAATATTTCTAAGAAGGGAGGTGGGTAGAAAAGTCAGAGAGTGATAATAGCAGCAGTGTTGGAAAGGTGAGAGTGTGGGCAGGAACTGAGATAATGAAGGGTTTACTAGAACATTAGTCCGGTCATGTACAGAATCAGATGATGCTTAGCCTCCACCTTCCTCAGTGACTCAAATCTTGAGACCTCCAAGAGAGAGCATATGTGAAGAGGTCAGTGGTGAGAATGGCTGGGTCTTAAAATATGCTCACTATAATGTAGAACCAGTGGGGATCTAGAATCTAAAAAAAAAAAAAAAGTTGAGCAGGGGGGTCTCCTGGAGTGGAATTAGAAACCAGTTGATCTTAACATTGTGAGACATCTGGAGCAAGCTGGTTGAGAGAGCCACTCTTGTCTCAGACTGGGCAGTCAGTGCTCTGGTCTGGGTTGGGGGTGAGTCACCCTAGTTTTTATAGGATTAATTGATGCCATTGCTACTGTGCCCATTTTGCCTGTACAGGCTCATTGTTTTCATTCTCCGACTACTGGAAATATGTCTGCTCATGTCTTATAATTGCCCCAGAAGAATTAACCTCAACTGAGTGGGAGCCACCTACCCCTTCCTGCCACTCCCCTGATCTCAGGGTGGCCTGAAACCAACCACTGGCTGAGACGGAAGTTCAAAAGCTGAGTTCTCTTGCCTCCAAAGGGGAGACAACTCTATGGTGGAGTTTAGGAACTAAGGCTCCCTAATCCCACAGAGATCAGGTCAACATAAAATTTGACTTGAGTCCAGGTCTTTGTTAGCTAGTGCTGCTTTAACAGAAATGCCACAAGTGGGTGGTTTTAACAAATGAAAATTTATTTGATCACAGTTTAGGAGACTAGAAGTACAAATTCAGGTTGCTGGCACTAGGGGAAGACTCTCTCTCTCTGTTGGCTCTGAAGAAAGGTCTTTGCTCTTCTGAGATTCTGCTCCTGGACAGTCTTCACATGGCTTGGCATATGTCTTCCCCTGTCTCTGCTTCTACTCCTTTCTCTTCCGTGTTTAATCTCTTTTACATCTCAAAAGAGATTGATTTAAAATATACCCTGTACTAGTCCTGTTTATAAATATAACAAAGACAATCCATTCCAAAATAGTATATAACCATAGTTCTAAAACCCTCTAACACTGCCATGTGGTCAGTTCTGACTCATAGTACGCATGTAGGACAGAATAGAATATCCGTTAGGGTTTCCAAGGGAACTCTGGTGGGGTAGTCCATAAGGAGTTGAGCTGCTAACCCAAAGGCTATGCCTTTCTGGTGGTTCGAACCCACCAGTGACTAGAAAAAGATGGGCAATATCCTCCTGGGCTATTTACTGACTTGGAAACCCAATGGTGTGGCAGGTATGAATATGAGTCAGTTCTCACTAAACGGCAATGAGAGAGAGAGAGAGAGAAAGAGAGAGAGAATGACAAGAGACAGCTAGCCAAGGGTTTCCAAGGCTGTAAATCTTTACCTTTACCAAAGCAGACAGTCTAATCTTCCTCTCAGGCAGTAGGTGGAAAAGTTCAAGCTGCCAACTTCTGGTTAGCAAACTGAATGCCTTAATCACAGTGGCACCAGAACCCCTTATCCTGGGAATTATGATGCCTATTTTTGAGGTGCTCATTCAACCCAGGATAAGGATGGGCAGTCTCCTTCTATGTAATTAACTGCCTCTGAAAATCGCTAGAGCTTCAGCTTTGAGTTGGTTTCAACTCAGTGGCACCCAACAACAGCAACAATATTGAACCCATTCTACACTGCTCCCCAGCTTGCTTACCTTTTTCTTTCCTTGTAAATTCCAGGCTCCATTCCTAGGAAACCTGACCTCAAACAAGGGATACTTGTCCTATCACTAGGGGTGGGGATGGGGCAGTACATTAACCAAAGGGTATACAACCCCAGGCCAACTCAAGAGACCAAAGTTGAGTCTCTGTGTAGACTTGGAAGGTCACAGTCCCGCACCGATAAATGCCCATTGGGTTGGAGTTAGATAAAAGCAAAGATAACTGAACAAACAAAAACCTTTGCTATATTCCCAAGCCTAGGTTTGGTGGAAGAAGGGAAAAAAACAAAAAACAGGACACAAGTCTTTCCCTGAGGAACTTCTGGTCCATTTACTCATGTGTTACTGCATTTGTTGAAGGCTTTTGGAACCTGCATGACTCAATGAATGGTCTCTGCCCTGTAAGGGTCATAGGCCCATGAGCTGACAATCAAGGAAACTGACCATTCTGATCTAGAGAATGGCACAGACATATCTGAGGTGGCTTATGATAGGTGATTGAGCCTGTTCCTGAGGATTGAGGGAGGTGCACAGAGGAGGAGTGTACAAGGGCAGGGAAATGCCACAACATGATGTGTTGGGGACCTTGAATTCTATGAGGCTACTGATAGGTTAAAGGGAAGACAGGAAGCTGGAGGTGAGGTTGAGGATATCCGAGGAGGTGAGCTGAGGACCATTAAGGGGAGATTTTTAAGTAAGAAGAATGGCATGGCCCAATTATAGAACGATCATTCTGTGTCCTGCAATGCAGGGCAGATGAGAGAGCACCAATGAGGGGCCACAAGGCTGTGAGGTGAGGATGAAGGGCTGGTTGAAGAGTGGGAATCAGTGCATTTGGTTGTGTTGGGATGTGAGACGTGAGGGCTGAAAGAAGAGGGAATGGGGATGATATTTGAGCTCCAAGTTTGGGCAGCTGGGTGGATGAAGGTGCTCTTCATAGTGGGAGATTATCTGTGAGGAGGATGGGTTGAGGGGAAGATAGTGTTGTTGAGTGTAAGGTGCCTGCGGGCCTTCTGTGAGTTGTCTTACAGGGTTAGGGTTCTGGGACGTGGAGGCAGGTCTCACCTGGAGGATTGTTTTGGAAGTTTCCAAGGTCTGAGTAGAAGATGAGGCTTCTTTGGGAATGTCTATCTGGTGAATAAAATGGGAAATTCCACAGTCTTTTTGGTCCATAGAAACCCTTTAGGCTGACTCGTATTGTTCCCTTGGCCTGTGGGAATGTGCCTTACACATATCCTGGCAGGCCTTCAATGAGTCTCAACAGCCCCATACTTTTCCCTCCCACCTTCAGAGAGGACTTTCCTTCCTGGGATCAGTATTCTCAAAATAAGGTTTTGAGACAGATTCTTTAAACAAAAGATCCTCATTGCTGTGGAGTAGGAACTAACTTAGAGCTGACCTTCCAGGGGGATTTCAGAGGCTGTAAATTATACCAGAAGAGACTGCATATGTTTCCCCCTCGGAGCAACTGGTGGATTTGAACCACATGCCAACAACTAGGCCCAAGGCTCCCAGGGGTAGCAGAGGCTTTCTAGCTGACTCAGATTCATCTGAGGACATTCACTGAGAACCAAACCATGCTAGGTCCAGGGGCTTCTCGGGTCTCCCCTTGTCTTGGCTGTCCATAGATCCCAGAGCCCCTGGGGTCACTCTTTGTTTTGGACATTCCCTACCACATCATGGGACATACTGTGTAATGGATAAGCCAGATAGAAAGTTTTGGGGCCCAGTTTCCCACTGAGTGATCTTGCCTTTCATTGTCAATCTCTTGTTTCCCTACCTACCACTTCTAGTTTACATCATTCTGTGAAATTAATATGTTTTAAGGGTTTTGACATACTCTATCACCATACATGAATTTCCCATCAGCCAGCCAGCCAGCTGCATCCCACCAACCCCTCCCATGAAGCCTCAGGACCCAGGGGCCCACCTTCACAAGGCTGTGGGTCCTGAGTGACCTTCCTGAGCCCCATAGTCACTTCTCGTCTGCCCTGTTACAAAAGACAGGGCACTTCCCTTGCCTATTTTCCTGTGTGGTCAGGGGGGCCTGGTCATCATGTATGCTGGCCTTGAGAGTTATGCATACCCACCTGCATCTACTGGGGCCAACCCAGCCTTAATTAGAACAGAGGTCCCATCCTGGGGGTGTCCTCCTTGGGAGAGTGCATATGGTGGGCATGTGTCAGATAGATGACCCCGGCTTCTAGGCTTCCGGCGCCTGGGACGCGTAATCTCCATACACCTCTTGCCCACCAGGTAGGCAACTTCACTGAGGTTAAGCAGGATGCAGACGACAGCTGTGGCCACCATAAAGTAGGTGAAGACCTTCTTCTCTGTGGGTCGGGAGATGAAACAATCGACAGTGTGGGGGCATGGATCCACAGAGCAAGTCACCACTCTGGGCATATCATAATCCTTGTAAAGGCGATGGAAGATATAGAGAAAGATGGCATCGACAGAGGCCTTGAAGATAAGACTCAGCAAATATGTCCACCAGAGGCCTCCTCGCTTCTTGCCTGCATTGTCATACAGGGAGGGGGCGTTCGGTCCGTGCTTCAGGCGGTGGCGCCGCTCTCGCTCCTGCCTGTAGGCCACGTGCATGACCACCAGCAGTGAGGGGCAGGTGACCAGGATGAGCTGCAGGGCCCACAGGCGCACATGGGACACGGGGAAGAACTCATCATAGCAGACATTGGGGCAGCCTGGCTGCTTGGTGTTGCAGACAAAGTCCTTCTGCTCATCGTCCCACACATCTTCAGCGGCCACCACGTACACCAGCACTCGGAAGATGAACACCACTGACAGCCAGATACGACCCAATGCTGTGGAGTACTTGTTCACGCCACTCAGAAGGCCTTGCAGAAATGCCCAATTCATGCTGATGGTGTGTCTGGGTCCTAAGTGGACGGGTCTGTGTATCTGCTCCACTCACTCAGAACCAGGGCATCCAGGGCCAGGAGGACCTATAAGTAGGCACCTCTTATTTATGGTACAGTCGACAAGGCCTTCTTACAGGCACCATGCCCATGTGTCCTCATTCATGGTGACTTGTCAAGAAAGGGGTTGCCATGATTCTCATTTCATGTGAGAGTAAATCAAAGCACAGGGAGAGAAAAGCAGCTGCCCTAAAGGCCCCCGGCTGGACGTGGCAGAGCTGGTCTTGAATGTTGCCTTTCCAGTTTCAACATGGCCTTCTCCTTTATTCTAGAAATAGATAAATGTGTGTGACTGATAATCATAGTGCACAGACATACAACTTTACCCTTAATTTCAGCCCTATTGGCCAGACAATTTTAAGAGAGATAGTGAGACAGTGACAATTGGATGATCTGCCCTCCAATCAGCTGCCAATGATGAGCGGAGGCAGAAGGGGAGGGATTGGAATGTTTATCAATCGTCAGATTCACCTAACTTTTCTTGAGCATCAAGGGAGCAAGGCCCGATCTGGGTGCATTCATGTCAGCCCATTTGGCTGGACATGAACAGCCTCCATCCTCCATTCCTTCCTCTCTGGACTGAAGATGTTCCCAACCCCATGCTTCCCTCTTACACCAGGCAGGAGGCTCTTACAATCCTGGTACTTACCCACCCTCTTGACCAGGCTTTCCCTTTCTTGTTACAATGCTGGGACTCAGGGATGACTGGGCTGACCACAGCGAATGCCTCTGAAATACCAACTATTCCAGCTTTTGAGAGGAACTAGAAGAGAGTTCTGACACAGACCCTCCTCACCATTTCCTTTCTCTTCTGGGGAAACCCCTACCTCCTCTGTTTGCTCGGTGGTAGCTTGCTGGCTGCTGCTTCAATTATTTCTGTGTAGTTCTCTCATGGGTGTTCCACCTCCACACGGAACCTGGAGTTTAACCAGGTTCCATCTCACATGCTACCCTGCTCCACCCTAGTTCAGCCCTGGGCTTCTTGAGCAAGTTGTGATGTTGTCCTCTGAGATACTGTCTCTGTTCCAACTCCAGGCACCCTTCTTTTTATTCTATTGTAGAACGTGTCCCTGTACTCTCAAATGGTTTGCTACCTGTCTTCAGAATCTATATTGAATTCATCTTTGCTTCCCAAGGATCTAGCCCTAAATGTGCATTAAAGAAATCAGATTTTTTTTTCCTTCCTCCTTCTTCTTTGTATGGTCCTCTGTCCTCCCTTTAGTCCATTGAAACTTTTTTTCTCTCCCCCTTTAAGGACTTTCCTGGAGATTTCCCAGGCACTCTGACCTGGGACCTGCTCCTTATAGTCAACCTGTAGCCCAAGGCCCCCAAGGCTCTCTCTGGCTGACCCCTTGCTTCCCAGCCCAGCCTTTCTCATTTTCTTAGTGCTTACCGCTGGGTTCGAAGCTGCTCTCCTGTCCTGGGCTTGTTCATCTGCCTTAGGGCTTCCTGGAGGGAGCTTTTGTTCCTCACTCTTCTGCTGGGTGGAGCTTTCTGAGCCAATGAGCCAAGAGAGAGTGAGCGGGTGGGCAGGCAGGTGGACTTCCCCGGGCACATATTCAGAACAAACACCCGAGGCTCTTCTATGCTGCCCACACCTCTCAGCCTGGTTGAGCATGACTGGGCCTGCTTCCCTAGGCAGTCAGGTGTCAGGTGAGATCTAGATGAGGGGACGGGAGTCTGGTGTCCTCACATCCAGCCCCAAGACAGCACCAAGGGGATCACCTGCCTTCTTCCTAATTGCTTTATTTTTATTTCTCTCAGTCCCAGGCCTCTCTCTTTGACATCTTTTCTCTGGAAACCTACTTCTGTCATTCATGGAGAAGGACAACTTCCGGTTAGCTCAGGAAGCCATCCCACATTGGGGTGTGGGGGGGATTTCTGGAGACTGCTGCTTTCGGGCTGTTTAGGGGATGGGGCAGCACACTAACTTTTCCATCCGAGGTTTCTGCTGCCCTAGTGGAGGCAAGGAATGCAGGCCAGCAACAAGAAATGCCCCAGTTGGCACAGGGCCAAACACAGCCTCAGGTCCTCCTGTCTCTCGGCTCTTGACCCTCTGGAGGTCTGAACGTGTTCCTGCAGGGGTAACAGAGAAGCTGTGGGCTTGTCTCACCCTCCGGACAGTGAAGGTTAATGTGCAGTCAGGGTGGGGTCCCTCTGCCTCATTTCCCACAGACATTTATTAAATGCTTCCTAATACCAATGATTAACATTTATGTGGCCCTTTTCCAGCTGGCTAAACCCTTCCGCAGCCATGAGCTCATTCTGGCCTCACAAACACGCCATGGAGGAAGTATATTAACACCCCCTCCCCCCCAAGTTCCCCTAGCCACACACTTACACTCTTTAAGAAGAAGCTGAAAGTAACACTCTCCCAGTGTCCCAGTTGAAGGAACTTGGATGGGGATCAGGTGTCTGACTCAGAGACCCTGTCCTTTCCCCTGCAGCCCACAGCCGGCCACAGACTAAGCTCCATTGTCCTCTGAGGCAACCCATGAGCCTAAAGCTGCATGTGGGGAGAAAGCCTCGACTCAAGCATGGGCAGGCCGTCCCTGGGAGTGCTGATCGATGCCTGTCTGGGTCAAGTACAGCCCTTTGTAGGGCCAGAGGGATTGATGCAGTGACTTCATAAAGGTCATGTATGTCAGAGGAACAAAAGGCATCATGAATGAGTGAATGAATTGACTTTTATTAAGCCTTGACCATGGGCCACACACAGAGAAGGCACTTGCATGTAATGGCATTTATTTTTTAATAAATGTCTCTCACGGCAGCCCTGTGAGGTGGGCACCAGTGTTTCCATTTTGCAGGAAATGAAACAGATTGAGGTACAGAGAAGAAGAGTAATTAGTCCAAGGGCACACAGTTGGGGCAAGTGGAGGGGTGGAAGAACAAGGATTTGATCCCAGGATTCTGGACTTCTTCCTTTTGCTTATATCCAACTTTAAGCTCAGCTTCTCCCACCATTCAGGCTGCACCCCATAAGCACTGTCACTGAGGAGAGCCCCATCACTGCAGGTAAGGATGTTGCTGGCGTATCCCAGCCTCAGCTCATCAGTACCATCCAGACAGCCCCTCACAGAATGGTTTTCTTCACATGCTCTCGAGGCTGGTCTGGTAAGAGAGGAGGGTGGGTGTCTGAGCCCAGAAAGATGAGGTCACCCCCAAGGAGGTCTTCCTGCTTGCTGGAGGAGGTGACACACTCCAGGTGATGCCCGATGCTTGAGGACCGGGATTTCCTGGCTGCCAGACACTCTCTGCACCTCTTGCCCACCAAGTAGGCCAGTTCCACAAGATTGAGCAGAATGCAGATGGCAGCTGTGACCACCATGAAGAGTGTGAAGATGTTCTTCTCCGAGGGCTTGGAGATGTAGCAGTCTACGATATTGGGACATGGATCCACGTGGCACTTGACCACATTAGGGAGGGTATATTTAGGGTAGAAGGAATGGAACACGTAGAGGAAAGCAGCATCCACACCAGCCTTGAACACCAGGCTGCAGACATATGTCCACCAGAGACCACCCCTCTTCTTGCCAGGGTCCAGATAGAGGCGTTTGCTCCCCTTCCCTGCTGCTTCTTGGTGCTTCTTCTCCCGAGCCTCCCGGTAGGCCACATGCATCACCACCAGCAGTGAAGGGCACGTGACCAGGATGAGCTGCAGAGCCCAGAGTCGCACGTGGGACACAGGGAAGAACTCATCAAAGCAGACATTAGAGCAGCCGGGTTGCTTGGTGTCACAGTCAAAATCCTTGTGGTCATCACTCCACACACGCTCAGCAGTCACCAGGTACACCAGCACTCGGAAGATGAAGACCAAAGACAGCCAGATGCGGCCAAAGGCTGTGGAGTACTTGTTGACCCCACTCAGGAGCCCCTCGAAGATTCCCCAGTTCATGGTGGGCCCAAGTGTTAGCTGCCACTGTGGGGAAATGAAAGCAATGATTGCTTACAAGATGTCATCATATTTAACACTCATAATCACCCTAGGAGGCAATAATATGTCTACACTTTACAGATGAGGTTTTAGGTGGATTATACAAGGGAACACAACTATTAGATGCACAGCTAAGATTTAAGTACCAGTGAATGCATTCCAGACTGCAACTCTTAGTTACAAAAGTGGGTCAAGGTGGGGCTTGGGAACTAAAGTCTTCTGGGGCCCAGGTTACTGGCCTTATAGGCCTACACGATGACACCTGATGGACGAGACACTGCCCTTTTCTTCTGTTTCAGCTCTAGCCCCCTTGGCTGAGTCTTGAGATGCCCTCTTGGGCACTGCTCTCTCCGCTTTGACAGTTCCCCTCACAGGGAACCTCTTCTTTGAGTCTTTTATGTGATTTGGGGGTTGGGGCTGAACAGAAGGTTGGAAAAATGTCTCAAAAGCCAAATCTGATCTAATGACCCTGTCAACACCCCAGCAGTGGACTGCTCAGAGAATCACTGGTAGTGTGCTAGTTAAGTATTTGGATGTTAACCAAAAAGTGGGTCGTTTGAACCTGCCAACCACTTCATGGGAAAAGGAGGGGGCACAGTGCTTCCTTAAAGATTATCGCTTTGGCAATCCTCTGGGACAGCTCGGCTTTGTCCTACAAGCCATTGTGAATTCAAATCAACTTGACAGCCAAGGGCTTAATTTATTGGTCTTGTTCAGGGGTGACTCAGTGGAAACACAGCCAATGATAGCTAGGATAAAATAGGGAGCTTTGATTCTCTTGATAAAATACGTTTCCTAGAGTAGGCTGGCATCCCATTGTTTCCCAAACTGGTGTTCCATGGAACCCTGCTTAATAGGCTGGTCATACGAACAATGAAAAGACTTTGTATTTGAGAAGTGGAGGCATGCGTTGGGTTCAGAACAGTGATGTAGGTCCCTTTACTTGACCATGTTAATAAAGTCATATTGAAAATCTCTGAGAGAGAGACAGGATATGGGCACTGCTCAGGTTCCTTCGACCCCTTCCTCCTGGAAGCTAGCGTTGTTGGGGGCAGACTACTGAGGCATTTCTTCTGGAGACTTTGACATGATGGACACACAGGGATCAGATTTAAACCTCTGTTGATGGATTGTGACTATTATGCACAGGGAAGGGTATCAAGGTCCTCATTGGAGTCCCCTGCATAGTGCCTGGGTCCACTCAGGGGTCTACACTGGTCTCATCCTCATCCTACCACGTACTCTGGGCTTCCAGCATCCTGTCTGTACAGCCCCGTACACTGTGCTGTAAGAGCTGCTTGAAGACCTTCCAGGGACTGGCCTGGGTTGAGGCCACCATGCTGTTGAGTAATTGCTGAGCTACCCTGCAATTGCAAAGGCACATAGTTCAAATCCTTCAGCTGCTCCGTGGGAGAAGGATGGGCACTCTCCTCCTGTGTGCTTTACTGCCTCTGAAAACCCACTGGAGGGTCAGCTATGAGCCAGTTCTGACTTGACAGCACACACAACTACTACAGATAGGCCGGGTCACAACAGCCAGATACTTATGTGATGCCAGACACTGTTTTAAACACTTTGCATGAATCAGTAAGGTACTCCTGTATAGCAATCTCATAAAGAGGCATACTGTTTCTTATTCTGCATTTACAGATGAGAAAAATGGAGCACAGAGTGTAACTTAATTGCTTACAGTTACACACACAACCACTAAACAGCAGGGCTGAGATATTAACCCAGGCAGGCTGGCTCCAGAGCCCACACCCTGGAGCTGCCCTCTCTTGGGTCTGGGCTCCTTTCCTCAGGCTGCCTGTCATCTGTGTCCACTCCTTCCTACCCCAGCCTGTCCTAGGGGAGGGATGCTGGCAATGTCTCTGCTCTCCACCCCGTGTCTCTCCCAACAGTCTTACCACTGCCCGCCGCGTCTACACCACCTACACTTGGACGTTGGGCCCTGCTCTGAATCATCGCTTGACTGCTCAGTCCTGCCCAGGGCGGGCAGAATAACCAGCAACTTCTCAGGGAACACCCAGTGGAGTGCCAGCCCTCAGTACCCCCAGGGCTCTAGTGTCCACCCAAATGGGGCGGAAACCTGCGGGCCCAGGCAAAGCAGTTCTCCAACTCAGCCCCAGCCCCCGCTTTGTGCCCCTCTCCCACTCAGTCTCTAGCTTTCATCTTCTGTTTAAGAAGCAAGAGCAGCCCTGCTTCAGCCCGCCATCCATCTGTCATTCTGACCCATGGTGCTGGAGGTGCCGGTCTCTTCAAAACCTAGTCCCCACCAGGCACGTCTCCCTCCACGTGTGTGGAGGACAGGCCACAGCTGGATACAGAGGACCTTACCTGAGCGACTACTGCTCTGAACTCGAACTCCCTGGGTTACGACCCTGGCAGCTGCAGTGGGACTCAGCAGGCAGGCAGAATTCATGACAGACCAGGGAGGGTTTCTGGAGCAGCTCGTTCCTGGGACAGAGCCTGCCCAGCCTTCAGCAGCCTGGGTGTGCCCAGACTGGCCCAGGAGGAGGAGCTGTGGCCAGCGTTGTCATTGGCTTGGGCCTGTGCCTTTCCAGGCTGCCTCTAATGAGACCAATGGAACCTAAAGGTTTTCTCCACCCAGGGCACTGGGCCCAAAATTCTTGAAGTCTCTCACGGGAGACATAGGTCCACTCTGACCCCTGATCATCATCTCATTCCTGGCTTGTGCGGTAGGAGTTGGGATATTCTCTGTACTTTTCAACCCTCTCTGTAAACTCTCCCCTCTTCTTCGTCTCCTCACATTCCTCTGGCTTCCATGGGCTGATCTCCAGGTTTTCCTCTTTCTGTGGCCTTCCTTTTTCATGGTTTCAATTATTTTTTGCAAACTCAGTGACTCAAAACTCTGCCTCCAGCTCAAATGTTTTGGCCCCGTCAGTTCCCTCTGCCTGGATACCCGTCCCCAAACTTCCTTCCCTGCCTGCAACTAGGGCCTTCCCTGCACTGAAGTTCCATACCCCAGTGTCGGGAGCCCCACTTCCTGCATCTGAGCCCTCACACCTACATATATGAATTGACACACATCTGCTTCCCATGCTTGTATCCGGAGTCCTACCCACCTGCATCTGGAGACACTTACCCCTGCATCTGAAACCCCACATTCCTGCACCTGGAGTCCCTTCCGCATCTGGAGCTTTACAGAAATGCATCTGGAGAGCCACTCATTTGCCTCTAGAGGCCTTTACACTGATACTCTATACTCTGCATCTGGATTCCCATATTCCTGTACTTGGATCCCCTCCAGCTCCTCAAGCCGACACCTAGATCCTCACATTCTTGTATCTGGAGCCCCACTTCTGGGGCACCCTCTACATTTAGGACTTTCTCTACCTCTGGGGCAGCTTAGAGCTCATCTCTGGGCTTCCACAGCTTCAGTCTCCACACCAACATGACTTCTCGGTCTGGACTGGCATAATTCATTTCATTGTTTCTTCCACATGAGGCCTGTGTGTTGAATGAACATATACATTTACACTAGTTGGCATTTCTAGGGAATGTTGAGAGCCAGATACAAACCAAATAAGTTCCAAGCCCCAGGAACTCAGCTTGATTACCAGCTGACAAGTCTGAAAGCTTCTGCTTAGCCTCTCATGACCTTAAGATGCCACTAGACAAATAGGCTTCTGGGTTCTGAACCTCCACACATTTGCTTCTGGACCCTACTTCAATCTGCACCCCAAATAACATTGAGTACATGAGGTGCTACACAAGGAGCCACTGTCTTCGCTACACATATCCCAGCCCCTCCTAGTCTACAGACTCCAAGCCCCTCCCCACCTCTGCATCTAGGCCCTGCTTCCTGTCCCAACACTGCATACTTTGGCCTTTCCACCCAACACTTGTTTTCAATTCAAGAGTCATTTCCGAGGCTCCGACTATATGCCAGATGCTGTATCTGGTGGCAGGCTAACAAAAATAAAGGCTCAGAGAGCCTGGACAGAGTCTCCCAACCTGGGAGAAGTGTGCTGATACAAGAATGGCCTCCCAGCTGAGGGCTGAGGAGAGGGACTTGCAGTGCCTGAGTCCAGTCTAGATCAGGTGCCTTACAGTCTGAGGGGAGAGGCAGATGGGTGAACAGACAATTGCATTAAGACCCTGCACTCACACATTTGCACCTGAAGTCTCATGCCTGAAACCCCTATATCTAAAATCTCACACCCCTAATCTGGAACCCCACAACTGTCTGGAGCCCGAACCTCTAATATGAACTCTGGTACCTCTATAAGTTGTTATGTGCTGTTGAGCAACTCACAGCAACCCTACATACGACAACTCTAAAATTTTCCCTCTCCTGAGCCAGTCTCACTGACTCTGACACACTTACCCCCATAGCCCCAGTTACTGTATCAATCCATCTCATCCAGGGTCTTCATCTCCTGCACTGTCCCTCCATGTCCTCCAAGAACTGGTCCCTCTTGGCCATGTGCCCAAAATATGTGAGATGGAGCTTCAAAATCCTAGCCTCTGAGAAGAAACTTGGTTTCACCCTCTCCAAGATGGACCTTTTTGTTTTTGGTCGTTCTTGTATGTTCCACACTCTTCTCTAGCACCACAGTTCAAGGGCATCAATTCTTCTGTCATCCTTAGTCATTGTCCAGCTCTCTGTTGCATAGCATGTAATTGTGAAGACCATGGCCTGAATCAGGCACACTTTAGTCTCTAGTCTGGAGTTATTGCTCCTCTGCACTCTGAAGAGGTCCCTGACAGCACACTTCTACAATGTAATTTGATTTCTCTCGATTTCCTGACTGGTGGTGCTAAGAGTGTTGACCGTAGAGCTGAACAAGCTGAAATTGTTAACAGCCTCAATCTCTTCTCCATCTATCACGGTGCTGCTAATTGGCCCAGTGGTGAGACTCTTTGTCTTCTTGATGTTAAGCTTCAATCTATGCTTGCTGAAACTGAGGAGGACCTGAAGCATTTTCTGCAGAAGG